TCCTAAATTCTAACATCTCTGATCCTGTCCTTTTCTCAGTGGATTATCTTGCTCTGAGATCACTATTGAATTATACTATAGGTTTGTGCCAACAACCATTTCATGCCTGAGACCCTCTCTCACGGTACTCCTATTAATTAGAGATTCCCAAAGTGTCATTTTCAGGTGTCAGATTGATGTCGTTCCTATATTATGTACAATTCTAATTTCAGTGGAAAAACCAATCTATATTTAGAAAGCCACATAATTGTCCACAGTAGAGTCCCATACTCTAATGAGTACTGTCACATGTTCAGAATCTTGAATTCCGCCATTCTTGTTCATGTCCAATTCGTTAAACGTATTCCAGAATTATCAGGATAAACGGTAATACGTTAACTGTGCAACTACTATTAGGAACCCGCTATTTTTACATCAGCAATTTCAACACCTCCGGTTCCACACGAATTAAATATACACGTCTCTTTTTACAGGGCGACAATTATGACCGTTGGGATGCCGATCTCTACTTAGCGGCGGCCGAGTCGTCTGTTTTTAAAAAAATTATAGCCCACAACCTAACAAAACCTTATTATTTGCTCAAGAATTAAACTTTATGAATGTCTTATGTATAATTATATATACTATAGAGTGTTTGTTTGTACAAATGTTCTTATTATGCGTATCCAATGTAATGTGCCTAATAAGGTATCTAGGCTGAGAGAGGGAAAAACCTGGTTTAGTTTCCATAAACCAAGTGGCGGTGAGTCATGCTTGAAAGTTTATCAATAATTAAATTATGTCATGCCAAGTGTCTAACAAAAAAATCCAAGTGTTGAGTCAACTGATCGTATCCGAGACTCCGACGCGTGTGATACTTTAATGACTCATGACAGTCATGACTCATGAGTCAGACGACCATACCAACATGAATACGTTCTACGATTAAATGGATATACTCACTATTAATCAACGTTTATATCGATGGCCCTATAGTTGTCAATATGGGTGCACAATAGAAACCTTTAGGACTATATATGTAATTGTTTTCATGTTAAGGTGTCCGTCTATACCACATACTAGTTAAATAGTTTTCATTAAACGTTTAGGATTTTCAATTGACGGGTTGGAAGTTGGTACTACATCATGGCATAAATATGTAAATAAATACATGTCGCATGGGAACCGAGCCCGCAATCGAGAGTGTGCTAGGAAGGTAACACATATACCTCGCATTTGCATAAGAATATTTGGGCTTTACGTTGCATATCATGACTGTCTTCTCAACTGATCCAGCAACCAAGTTTGCCGAAGAGGTTGCCGCAATCACGGATGTCGCTTGTGAACTGGTATGTTCCCACATGCACGTGTCATAAGTATGCAAGTGCGTTAGTATTTACATACGCGTGATGCATGTTTGCATATTGATAAGTATGCATATATGAGTCAGATATGTATGCACATGTATAAGTATCCCTATATATAT